TAGACTCACAGGCCATGGTAGAAAGCCCATCCAGGGACTAGTGAGGGTTCTGGCCAGAAACTGGGTTGAGGCAGTGGTAAGAATGTGATAAACATCATCATCCAAAGTACATGTATGAAGACACGAATTGGTGTTAACATACTTTATATACAACCAGAGAGATGAAAACATGTGGTTATATGTGTAATAAGAATTGTAATGCATCCCGCTGTCATTTATTTTTTTAAATCAATAAAAATAAATTAATTAATGAATTTTTTAAAAAGAATGGAAGTCAAGAATTTAAAGAACAATTGAGAGCTGATGTATTCTGATTTTATTAGAAGATGGCTCTCTGCTAACCTGTGGCCTGCCAGGTACCAATCATGGACTCGCAGGCAAGACAGGAAAGAGTCTCACCAGGTACCCAGGTGACAGTTTATTATGGTGAAAGTTATATTCAAATTAAACTATTAATATTTTGTCACCAAACATCCTCCCATGGATGCATTTAGCACATACTTATTAAGAACCAGTTATATACAAGGCTACAAGTAAAAGCCACTGTACTAGCTACACTTCTCAGAGAATAAAAAACATAGTCAAATATTAGTAAATTGGTATTTTGCCCTTCTTTTAGGCCAACCCTGTGGAACCTGTCATTTTAACTTGGACTGGGTGTTTTTGTTACATATTAATGGCTCCTAGTGAAGAACATCTTCTCAGTGAGAAGGTACTCTAAGACTCTGTAAACTCAGATCAGGATACATAGAACATTCCAGAGCACTGGGATAGAGGACAGTGGATGTTTTGAGTTATAGTTTCAAATTTTTAAAAAGATTTACCAAACACATTTGTGCCAGAAATCAGCATATATATATAAGTCTTTGGAAGTTTGTAGGCAGAAAGAAGTAGGAAGGAAAGATAAGGGGGTTGGGTAGGGACTGTGGGCAAAGGGCTCTGGCCAGAGAGAGGGGGAGGTTGCTGGCTGACTTGAAGAAGCCCATGAGAAAGGACAGAAAGCTATCTACACCAGAAGACAGGGCTTGTACAGGACACACCAGGGACCAGCCACTGTTGATCACTTGTAATGTCACAAGTCACCCAGCATTGGTTTTTCAGGGCCAGAAGGAAGGCCTCATAAACCCCAGGCCCCATCCTAACATCTCTGCCTGCTTTCTGATTCCTAGACTTTCTAACAAAGGAAAAAAGATTTCAAATTTCAATTAGTAATAAAGACACTTAGAATATGACTGCCTTCTAGGGTTAGTTATTTAGTGCTAGTGAATGTCAGCTACAGTGTCATTAATGGGTATTAGTGATCAAAAGTCAGAGTCTTCTCTGCTTTGTAGAGACAGTGAGGGATTAAAGAGGGCAGAAGTTCATTGAGTATTTGAAAGCAAATGTTACCAACAGGCCAGGCAAGAACTGAAGATAAATTGCTTATTTGATGGCTTTGCCAGAGATGAAAATTGGAAAAGTTACCTATGAGACAAAGGTATTTTTGTCATGCATTGTCATTGTAAATGCACAGAGTCTTTTAAAAACTGGTGATTAGCTTTTTATTTTTTTTAGCCAGCTGACATCATATGAAAGATCATCATTCCTATGTACATGTTAATGCAACTTCCATCCTTTCTGTAACTGTGAGAGAACTTTCTGGTCTGTGGGTACGAATAACCTCAGACTCTAATATGATTCAGGCAGATGTGGTCAGTACCATATGACGGCCTGTATCACCCCATGCTATGATTTTGCTTCCGTTTATGCAATATCTTAATAGAAGCAAAGATCATTTTTCATGCATCTCTGTATCCTAGTGAGTTGTAAATACACCTCCAAATAGGCACAGGAGTGTTTGTGCTTATAAAACAAATGGATAGATAACATTCAGTTGGTTGCTAATCCATCAAGAAAATAGTAGGCAGCTGTAATAAGTACAATCACTGATCTGATATAATTATGGAAGTGTTTAATGTCAGAAAATTCAAGGTATATCTTCTTAAAAGTAGAACCTTCTCAGAAAGTCAAGACAGTAGCTTCTGCCCTGCTGCCTCTCATTCATCCCTTAATAGATGAATCAATTCGTTCTCATGCCCTTGGGTCCAACTTGCAGAAAGCCCAACTAACAGTGACTTAAACTCTAAGGACACTTATTGTTTGTTTATGTCGAGGATAAAAGCTGAGTGACTCCAGGGCAGGATACCTAGCTCAAAAGTGTCATAAGAAGAATACACTCTTTGCCACCTTCTTGTCACTACATGGTCTCCAGGTGGAGGCTACAGCTCTGTATGTCATGTCCTAACTCACCTGTGTCCCAAGGCAGGCAGTGGGTGTATGTGTGTGTATCGGTGTGCACACATGTGCAGTGGAGGTAGGAGAAAATAATGCATTCAGGATAGTCAGAAGCTTTCCCCAGGATGTTCTCTTCTTACCTGAGAGGGAAAGCTTTCCTAGAAGCCTCTTGACAGACTTTCTCTGGCATCTCAGGTCACATGGCTTCCCCTAGACCAATTCTCTAGAACCTGCACAGGGGAATTGGATTTTGCTGCTTAATTCCATGATTCATCTGATTCTGTTCAAAAGAAAGAAAGAATAGATGTTGTGTAGGCAAGTAGAAATTCCTGCTTGGTAACAACTAGATGGAAAATGGTAAGCAACTATGTAGTCCACTCATACTTCCAAGAGCTAACTTGTCTTCTAAAATTATATCCTGGTTATTTATATCATTTCATTGATTTTTTTAAAGGATGTGCTCAAGAAAGAGTTTAAAATATATGGGCCTTGCCCAGAATTATAGGGCTTCAGTGAGTCATGTCTCTTCCCTGTACTGGCTTTGGATTGCTTTACTCTGAAACATTATGACTTGTAGTTTACAAAATCCATGTTTTTTTTTCCATTTAAATTCATAAGTGAGAGGATAATGATTCTTAGGATCACTGCACACATACCTCAAAGGAAGTAGAGGGTGTCCACTTTAGGAAACACGTCAAGGATTTTAGCTTGTGTATCAGGTTCTATCAAAAGTTATAAAAGGCCATATTTTCTGATTTGAAGAAAATTTTGATTCCCTTAAGTTAATTCAGTAGTGTCTATGTTTGTCTTTAGAATGACTTACTTGAGCTTTTTCTGGATGAAACCACTTCTCAAGGGAAATGCATTACAAATGTTTCTCAACACAAGAATGACAACAGACAGCAATTAACAACTTTCAGAATGACCAGTGGCTCTGTAGCACACATCTGTCTCCAGGAAATAAACTTCCTCAAGTGACAGTCCTTCCTTGGTATCTGTTTGAGTTTCTGTTCTGAGTTGAACTCTTTGAGCCTTTCTGCTTGCCCCTTTTATGAAACTTTATTTATGTCAGAGAGACCTTAAAATGGCTTTGACCAAACCTTGACATGTACATATGTAATCCACCTAGAGAAATATATTCCTTGAGTATAACAGCATTCATAAGATGACCCAAAATTAAATCAACTTACTTTTAATTAAATATTTCTAGAATTTTATGGCATAATTTCTCTGAAATAAATCAGGGTTTGGCAAATGATTGTTTGGTCAAGAATTAGTCAGTTTTCCAACATGTCTAGGCCCCCACCTGAGGTTGGTTGGGGTTGCCTTGTGGTCAGTGCAAGCAGCACCATTTACCAGCGGATGACATGGCAAGACACACAGGTGACAAAGAGCACAGAGTTCCTTTCTCTCAGCACTTACACATTGTTTTCTGCCCCCCTGATGGCTTCTACAGGTGTCTTTGCAACTTCAAAAGCATGATTTTGGAGGTAACTATGGAAGCTATTAGTGGTGCTTTTTCTTTTGCCTTAGGCCATTAATTTCAGTACCTAAAATCTATTTTCTCAGAGGAGACTGACTGGAGTGTGTGCAATGTCTAAAGGAGGTAAATAATGTTTGATGAAAGTACAAGACACAGTGAAATTTGCTTTTCATTTCACCTCTTCCAAATTCTTTTATATATTTTTACACACACACACTCACACACACACACACACACACACTGAGGAATGGTTTAAGAACATTTTTTTTTCAATAAAACTATCACTTCTGAGACTATTTTTGGAACTTCTTTTTTAATAATTGGCTTATTGAAGAGTCAAACCCCATGTAAGCAAACTAGTCTCATTATTGAATTGCACAAAACCCCACCTCATCACCTTATTAACCAGATTTGGTCCAGTGAATCAACCACAGGAGGTCAGTGCCAGGTAGAGTGCCAGAGGAAGTTCCAAAAATGGTCTGAGCACTGACAGTATTATTGCAAGAACTGTTCTGAACACCATTCCTCATTTTGGGGTGTGTATATTCTGGTATGTTGCTTTAAAATAAATGAAATAGGGGGAACTAAAGTGCCAGTTTTTCTGTTTGAATTGCAAGAATCATAAATTCAGTGTTAAAATAAAGACAAATTAGGAAAAATATAAAACACCATAACATTGGAGTGGGTCCAGAAAATAAACAAGCAACTTTTAATATATGTAGGTGTATAGAACATAAATCTACCACTGAGCCACATATATATGCACTTTCTGGTTTTGTTTCTACATATTTTATATAAAATAGCATTTCTCAAAGTAATGGAATTTCTTTAAAAATGAAATGACTAAAATGTAGGTTTATTCACTGAGATTGATCATCAAGGTGGTGATTTTTTTAAATGGCTGGGAAAGTGTCTAACTGTTGAGATCCATTTGCTCTGTGTCTCGGAGGTCTCTTCTTTTTGTAAATGTAGCATGTTCTGCACCAGGGAAATTCTAAAGCTGAAACCCCACCCATTTCCTTTTCTTTTATAAAAAGAATTTGTTAAAAATGTACTTCATCTCCTTTCCAATTAGATGGAGGCTAACTAATGAAATTTTTGCCAGACACAAACAGCATCTGTTGTGTATATAGCCTAAGATTATGAGATACCTTAAGGACTTGCAGGAAAAGAATTCTTTCTGTCATGCAATTTCTGGTGTTGGTCCCAGGATAGTGATAATATTTCAATTCTTCATTTTTAGATAACAATCAACAGAGACAGTGGAGAAGACGTGAGCTCCCCTAAACACGGGAAGGAGGACCCAGACAACATGCCCCATGTGGGTGGCAATACTTGGGCTGGTGGAACAGGTTGGTAGCACAGACGTGGCATTCTTGTGGGTCTGGCTTCCTATCAGGCCAGCACATTGCTCTGCATTAACTCCCCAAAAAGACTCAGAGACCAGCTGTGCTTCTCAGCCTTCCCTATTAGTCAGTCAATGTGTTCTTACCCTTGGCTCCAGTGTGGCATCAAGACATAAGAAGAACCTGGCATTTTGATTCCCACAGGCTCCACTAACCCAAGACCTAACACCATTCTCACCCCCTTGGAGTTGCTTCACTGGTAAAAGGGTGATACTAACTGCCTCACCAGGTCATGATTTGGACTAAAAAAAGATTGTGATAGTAAAAGCACTGAGCTCAGTGGCTGGCCTGAGGATGGTATTCATTCAAGTGTTAATCCCTTCTTTTAAACTGTGTGCACTTGGGTTTTTGCCAGAAATCTACAGTATATTCTTTCTTAAGCAACTGATCTAGAAAAGAAATAGTCCTTGTGTTTCACATCTCAGAAGTGAGTGTGATGAGGATGCAAGATTTTGAGAGAGGAGGGTTGGTTACTATTTGCACGGATGCCAAGAGTAAGCAAATGAGTCTGTTCCTTCCTCTCAGCTGCCAGACCCTACCATTGTTCCATGACTGCTGTCTTCCTATTTCCTTGGGCAGCTGGAGCCAACACATCTGCTGGGCCACTGGAATAGGGCCAGACCGCGCACTGCCTGAGCTTATCTGAGCCCTGAGGAGAGCTGGCAGGGATTCCAAGCTTCACCTTCACAGAGGACAGTCTGCACCTCTTAGCCTTGACAGCCTGGGCAGGAAATGGGTTTCTGTGCTGAGACAATGAGCTATCCAACAGGCTGTAGGCTTCTTGCCTGCTCTGTTTATTCATCAAGCAGCTCTTTAAAGAAAGGCTATTTTTAGAAATGTCCTTTTATCTAGAAGGTAGTGTCAAGCCAACAAGATTTAATCCATATGGAATGCATTGAGGAACTAGTAGGTCAGAAGTAGGCTCCCCAGCAGTGGACTGCTCCCAGGTGAAAGTTCTTATTTACTATTCAACTTGCATCTGCTAGCTCCAATATCTGTCCAGATGATACCTGTGTTTCCCCTTTTACTTTTCAGTTGATCAAGAGCCCTTGGCTTCAACTTGTCTTTTTATCTTTGTCATTTTTCTCCCTCAAAATTCTGTACATTGAATTTAGCTCTGGCCCAACAAGTCCTCAAAGTCTCCCTCCCTTGCCCACTTTGTCCCTTAACTCATGGACTGGTTTGGGATGTCCAAGCTTAGCTTTAAAGTTACGCCTTGCAGAACCTCCAGCAAGAGTTTTCACTTTAAAAGTACAAATTGAAAGCTCTGGGAAGTAGAAATCATGAAGAACTCTCCACTCATATCCTTTGTACCCCAGGGTGACTTTCCCTAGGGGCCATGTGACTCCTCTGGCCCTCACTCACATCAGCCTCTACCAGTTGCAAGTCCTTTCCTCCTTTCTCCCAAATGATGACCTCTGAGTATCTAAGAAGTGCTGAGCTCCAGTTCATCTCCCCGCATAGCTAAGAACAGCCTCTGGAGGAAGGGAATGAGGTCCCAAACACACCTTCCCATCAATAGCTCAGTGTCACTACCCAGTTCCTGTTCCCTCTGCCACAGGCTGATTGTGAATGGGAGCCAGGAATCACACAAATCCAAGAAGTAATTTTCCACCACCCAATTCTAAATAAAAATTACATAAGATGTGCTTCAGTCAAAGGATGCTGTATTTAATAGGCTGTTGTCATGGTAGTTCCCAAAAGGAAATTACCTACCTGGACTTTCATAAAGGAAGTGGTTCATGCTAAGTGTTCCTTCTTAGTTTATTTAGACCAATTAAAGCTTCAAAGTAGAAAAATAATTTATTATAATTTAGCCAAAGTCTAAAAGCTTTCAGATATTTCACTTAATAAATCTAGAATTACCTCCTTCTGTGCATGGGAGTTATTTAAATAATAATTGTAAGATTGGTAACTTATATAGCTCTTATTTTTTTGCCAGATACTTTTCTAAACATTTTTGCTTTATGACAATCTCATGAAGTAAATCATATTATTATACTTGTTTTATAAATGAAGAGACTGAGACAGAATATTCGCATAATTTCCTGAAAGACACAGCTATTGAGTTGGAATCAGGCTTCAAACTCAGGCAGTCTGCCTTAACTAGTATAGTATACAATACTGTGCTTACTACAGTATACGATACCGTCCCTCAACTGAGGTCTCATCATGAGTTCTCAAGTTATGTGTGAACAAACAAAATATACTGTTTACTAATAGTCTAATTTTTATAAAGCAAAGATAATAAGTTGGCCAATTCTAGCCAAAATATGTATATATTTTCTTTGGTCAATGTAGCATTTATTGATTGATTGATTTATAGCAAAGATTGAACCCCAAGATGCTTAACCACTTGAGCTACATCCCCAGCCCTTTTCATTTTTTCTTTTGAGACAGAGTCTCACTAAGTTGCTTAGGGCCTTGATAAGTTGCTAAATTTCGCTTTGGACTTATGATCCTCTTGCCTCAGCCTCCGGAGTCCCAGGGATTACAGGTGGGCAACACCATTCCTGGCCAATGTAGTATTTTAAAATAATTTCATTTGGAATATATCTAGCCAATGTCACCACCACTTCTTATAATGGTACCTACCTAGCCTTATAGCCATTTAACTTTCATTTTTAACATAAATTGTTCATACAGTATTACATGACATATACTTATATATATGTAAATGTGGGTTTACATTGAAAGGCTGCTCTGAAACTGATAATATTTATCCATTGTATATTATTCAAAGCTAAAAGTCAAAGTTGATATAATAATTGGCTTCAGTTCTTAGTTAAGCCAGAGGTCATCATTAGGTCACTTAACCTCTCTGTGTATTGTTTTTCATTATTTTCAAAACAAAAGAAATTTTATCTATAGCTTCACTGTCTTTTTCTATTTTGTGGGAAAATAAGGTAATAAGTGAAGGAAGAGTTACTCATTTATTTAGCAGATATATAGTAAGTATTTATATTGTTCAAGCAATTAGGGCAGAGTTAAAAATATAAATAAAATATGATCCCATCCATTACATAATTTTTAGGAAAAGGAAAAATAATGAAGAGTAATAAATAGTACACCTGAGTATCAATCCCTATGAGGTATAGGCCTCAGACGAAGTGTGTGTCATAGAATTCGTAACGGAACTTGAAAAACATGTAGATTTGGATGGATAAGAAAAGTGTAAAATCATGCTAAATAGGGGAAAACCCTTTATTTTAAGAAAAAGGTTATTTGAATTTTTAATTACTGTTAAGTACAATTAATATACTTCTCAGAACTATCTTTTTTGTGTGTGGGGTTGGGTAACCAGGGATTGAACTCAGGAGCACTTGACCTCTGAGCCACATCCCCAGATCTATTTTGTATTTTATGTAGAGACAGGGTCTCACTGAGTTGCTTAGTGCCTTGGTTTTGCTGAGGCTGACATTGAACTCGCAATTCTACTGCCTCAGCCTCCCAAACCACTGGGATTATGGGTGTCTACCACCATGTCTTGCTACTTCTCAGAACTATCTGCAAAACCATAATCTAATTTTTGTTTTGCAGTCAGGTTCAGACTTATCATTTGTATTTTCCTTGTTTCTTTCCAGGAGGAAGAGACACTGCAGGTCTGGGGGGAAAAGGAGGTCCTTATCGGCTGGATGCAGGTCACACAGTGTACCAGATCTCTGATGCTGAGAAGGATGCCGTTCCTGAGGAGGTCAAGAGAGCTGCAAGAGAGATGGGCCAGAGAGCATTTCAACAGAGGTGAGTGTTCACGTCATATCTACAACAGTGCTGTTGACTAATAGACACATACATACTTGCACGCATGTATGCATGCACACTGTTAGGTGCTAAACTCACATGGTACAGAGCCTGTAGCCTCCAGCTATGCAGATAATGGCAAGATCAGTGGGTTAATATGAGGAAGCACCCATTTCTGTGCCAGGATTTGGAGATGAGACAAAGATAAATGAAGAGGGCACCAGGATAGAGTGCACAATATTGATGAGAGAGAGAGTCAGCTTGCCTGCCCACAAAAAAGGGTAAGAGCTGGAGAGAGATGAGCAGTAAGGTTGGTTGGGGAGGCTTTTTTGGCCGGTGGGGTCTTTGAAACCAGGCCAAGGAACCTGTGGTCTTCTGATGTTCCACAGCTGTTTTAGGCCACTTCATTGGCCCCATCCACTAGATGCTTCTCTAGACTTCCATGTTTGTTCTTCAGCTAAAAAAGAAAAACACCAAAGAACCAGCAATATCTCCTTTCTGATTGATGGACTTGGTAGCACTTTGGGAAACAGATTCACATTTTTGTGCTCAATGAAAGGAGTTGGGTGCAGTTGAATAACGGATATAAAGAGGAGAGAAACGATATGATCCTATACTTAGAAGACCCAAGAGGGTCTACAAAGAAACTACTAGAACTAATAAATGAATTCAGCAAAGTGGCAGGATATAAAATCAACACGCATAAATCAAAGGCATTCCTGTATATCAGTGACAAAACTTCTGAAATGGAAATGAGGAAAACCACCCCATTCACAATATCCTCAAAAAAAATAAAATACTTGGGAATCAACCTAACAAAAGAGGTGAAAGATTTATACAATGAAAACTACAGAACCCTAAAGAGAGAGATAGAAGAAGATCTTAGAAGATGGAAAAATGTACCCTGTTCATGGATAGGCAGAACCAACATCATCAAAATGGCGATATTACCCAAAGTTCTCTACAGGTTCAACGCAATGCCAATCAAAATCCCAACGGCATTTCTGGTAGAAATAGATAAAGCTATCATGAAATTCATATGGAAAAACAAAAGACCCAGAATAGCAAAAGCAATTCTAAGCAGGAAGTGTGAATCGGGAGGTATAGCGATACCAGATTTCAAACTGTACTACAGAGCAATAGTAACAAAAACAGCATGGTACTGGTACCAAAACAGGCAGGTGGATCAATGGTACAGAATAGAGGACACAGAGACCAATCCACAAAATTACAACTTTCTTATATTTGATAAAGGCGCTAAAAGCATGCAATGGAGAAAGGATAGCATCTTCAACAAATGGTGCTGGGAAAACTGGAAATCCATATGCAACAAAATGAAGCTGAACCCCTTTCTCTCACCATGCACAAAAGTAAATTCAAAATGGATCAAGGACCTAGATATCAAATCAGAGACTCTGCACCTGATAGAAGAAAAAGTTGGCTCCGATCTACACATTGTGGGGTCGGGCTCCAAATTCCTTAATAGGACGCCTATAGCACAAAAGTTAATAACTAGAATCAACAAATGGGACTTACTCAAACTAAAAAGTTTTTTCTCAGCAAGAGAAACAATAAGAGAGGTAAATAGGGAACCTACATCCTGGGAACAAATCTTTACTCCTCACACTTCAGATAGAGCCCTAATATCCAGAATATACAAAGAACTCAAAAAATTAAACAACAAGATAACAAACAACCCTATCAACAAATGGGCGAAGGACCTGAACAGACACTTCTCAGAGGAGGACATACAATCTATCAATAAGTACATGAAAAAATGCTCACCATCTCTAGCAGTCAGAGAAATGCAAATCAAAACCACCCTAAGATACCATCTCACTCCAGTAAGATTGGCAGCCATTATGAAGTCAAGCAACAATAAGTGCTGGCGAGGATGTGGGGAAAAGGGTACACTTGTACATTGGTGCTGGTGGAACTGCAAACTGGTGCGGCCAATATGGAAAGCAGTATGGAGATTCCTAGGAAAGCTGGGAATGGAACCACCATTTGACCCAGCTATCGCCCTTCTCGGTCTATTCCCTGAGGACCTTAAAAGAGCATACTATAGGGATACTGCCACATCAATGATCATAGCAGCACAATTCACAATAGCTAGACTTTGGAATCAACCCAGATGCCCTTCAATAGATGAATGGATTAAAAAACTGTGGCATTTATACACAATGGAGTATTACGCAGCACTAAAAAATGACAAAATCATGGATTTTGCAGGGAAATGGATGGCATTAGAGCAGATTATGCTAAGTGAAGCTAGCCAATCCTTAAAAAACAAATGCCAAATGTCTTCTTTGATATAAAGAGAGCAACTAAGATCAGAACAGGGAAGAAGAGCATGAGGAAAAGATTAACATTAAACAGAGACTAGTGGGGGGAGAGAAAGGGAGAGGGAAGGGAAACTATGGAAATGGAAGGAGACCCTCATTGTTACACAAAATTACATATAAGAGTTTGTGAGGGGAAAGGGAAAAAAAAAAAACAAGGGAGAGAATTAAACAACAGCAGATGGGGTAGAGAGGGAAGATGAGATGGAAGGGGAGGGGGGATAGTAGGGGATAGGAAAGGTAGCAGAATACAACAGTCACTAATATGGTATTATGTAAAAATGTGGATGTGTAACCGATGTGATTCTGCAACTTGTATTTGGGGTAAAAAATGGGAGTTCATAACCCACTTGAATCAAATGTATGGAAGATGATATGTCATGAGCTTTGTAATGTTTTGAACAATCAATTAAAAAAAATAAAATAAAAAAAAGAGGAGAGAAGATGCATATGAGGGAATTAGTGACAAAATTATACACCTCTAATAAATGCTGAAGGCATGCTCAAGTGTATGAGACTGATGAAATTCCTCCCATTACATGCTGTACTTTCACATCTGTAAGTAAACAGTACAGAACAATAAAGAACTGCTGGCCACACTTTCAGGAAAGCCTGTGAGCCTCAGAATGGGCCTGAGAGGCAGAAGTGTTGCTCTCAGTCCTCCTGCTGGCTTCCCAGGTGAGCACAGTTTATTTATAGTTACTGAATCTGAATTTGCTCTTCTGGAGAATGGAGACTTCACTCTTCCTTCCTCTCAGAGAGGTGATTAGGACAGATAACTATTTTTGGAATGAAAGTAGTTGAAATCTCTCAAAAAGAGGCAGGAGAAAAATTATACTATAATGAAAAGTCATGTTAGAATTAAAAAGAATTGATCTGTTTCATATGAATAGTAAAATATCCATTTAGGAAAAGATTAATAGGTATTACTCTCCCCTCTCCCCCAACCAGTTGCTATTGTTGCCCCTCTCAGTTTTTCACAGGTAATTATCCAGTCTGAATGTTTTACAAGCAGAGTGCTCTGGCACACAGGTCATTTGCAGGGAGACAGGTAAGTCTTGCAGTGGTGCATGGGCACAAGTATGCAACCCCTCTCTGAGTGCCACTAGTGATAAGGAGCCTGGTTCTGTTGAGGACCATTGCCCTCCAGGGGAATGAGGTCAAGGGGCCTTGGTGGTAAGACAGCTGAATGAATAGTGGATATAAAGAGGAGAGAAGATGCATATGAGGGAATTAGTGACAAAATCATACTGAAGAGAAGAATCCCAATCAAAGAAAAAGAATACCATAACGTGGTTGAAATCCAGAGAAGGTGAGCAAGGGTGTGAAAAGCAGGGGATAAATCAAAACACACAATGATCCTGAGAAAGATGGAGGCACAGCAAAACACCATGAAAAATGCTCTTTCAACTTTCATGTAGAAATGGGACTTTCATTGCTTTGGATGAGTATTTCCTTTAGTTCTGCTGAAAATTTTTCTTTAATTCTTTATTATGGGTTTTTTCAAACATGAATTGAAAGTAGAGAAAAATATGCAATGAATCCTGTGAGATGATACCCCAACTGCAAAAAGAAAGTGGTTCCAGTGCCAGGTGCCATGGCACATGTCTATGGTCCCAGCAGCTCGAGAGGCTGAGGTATGAGGGTCACAATAACAAGCCTCAGCAATTTAGTAATGCCCTAAGCAACTCAGTGAGACCCTGTCTCTAAATAAAATATTAAAAAGGGCTGGGGATGTGCCTCAGTGGTTAAGTGCCCTTGGGTTTTGTCCCCAGTACCAAAATAATAATAATAATGACAATTTTAGTTTCCACCCCTGGAGTATCTTGAAGTGAATCCAAAATATTTTGTCATTTCATCATAATTATTTCTGAGTGTTTTCTACAATATAGGAACACAAAACCACAAACACAACACACTATTATCATGTACTTACAAGGTAATAATCTTTACTATCATCAAATAATTAGTTTTACAGCTCTTTTCTACCACTCTGGGCACATGGAGAATGAGGTCAAATCCTGCCATTTATGCTTTTATAGCACCCTGTGCCATTTCTTCTTAGCCATTATCAATCTTTCTCATTTAGTTATTTGTGTGAGTAGTTAATCATCTCTCTACTGATTATGAATTTCTTAAGAACAGAACCTGGTAGATGGCAGATATTCATACACGTTTGTGGAATAAATAATATTCATGTGCATAAAAGTAATGGTGTCTTTATCATTCATCCCTTGGTATCCATAAGAAGACATTCATATAAAATAGCCTAATATTTGTACATAATACACATATATCCTGCCATGAACTTTTTTATTTATTGGTTCTTCTTAGTTATATATAACAATAGGATTGATTTTGATGTAATGGAATGTAATTAGTTCTAATTCAGTCCCTGTTATTTCCCTTTTCTCTCTCTTGTCCCTCCCCCACTACTCCTTCCCTTTACTCTACTGCTCTTTCTATTTACTTATAGTGTTGTTATGTTATTTAACATTAGTGTCTTGTGGATGTATATGATGGTGAGAATCACTGTGGAATATTCATATATATACATAGGAAACTTAGGTCAGATTCATTCCACTGTCTTTCCCTGTCTCATCCATACTCCCTTCCCTTCATTCCCCTTTGTCTACTCCACTGATCTTCCTTCTATTTTTTTTTTAACCTGCCCCCTTATTTTGGAATAGCTTCCACATATCAGAGAAATTGTTTTACCTTCAACTTTTTATAACTGGCTTAATTTACATAGCATGATAGTCTCCAATTCCATCCATTTTCTGGCAAATGCAATAAAGTTAATCTTCTTTATGGCTGAGTAAAAGTCCATTTTTTTATATATATCACATTTTCTTGATCCATTTATCTGTTGATAGGCATTATGAGTCTCTGTGTCTTCTATTCTATTGGTCATCATGCCTATTTTTATGCCAGTTCCATGCTGTTTTTGTTACTATAGCATTATAGCATAATTTGAGGTCTGGTATTGTGATGCCTCCTGCTTCACTTTTCTCACTGAGTATTGCTTTAGCTATTCTGGGTCTCTTATTTTTCCAAATGAATTTCATAAATGCTTTTTCTATTTCTAAGAATGTTATGGAATTTTGATTGGAATTGTATTGAATCTGTCTAGCACTTTTGGTATTATGGCCATTTTGACAATATTAATTCTGCCTACTAAGAACATGTGAGGTCTTTCTAAGGTCTTCTTCAATTTCTTTCTTTAGTGTTAGGTAGTTTTCATTGTAGAGGTCTTTCACTTCTTTTTTTAGATTGATTCCCAAGTTTTTTGTTTGTTTGTTTGTTTGTTTTGACTTTTGTCTTTTGAGGCTATTGTGAATAGGATAGTTTTCCTAATTTCTTTTTTTTTTTTTTTTTTTTTTTTTTTTTTTTTTTTTTTTTTTTTTTTATTGTTGGCTGTTCAAAACATTACATAGTTCTTGATATATCATATTTCACAATTTGATTCAAGTGGGTTATGAGCTCCCATTTTTACCCCATATACAGATTGCAGAATCACGTCAGTTACACATCCATTGATTTACATATTGCCATACTAGTGTCTGTTGTATTCTGCTGTCTTTCCTATCCTCTACTATCCCCCCTCCCCTCCCCTCCCCTCCCCTCCCCTCTTCTCTCTCTGCCCCCTTTACTGACATTCGTTTGTCCCCCTTGTATTATTTTTCCCCTTCCCCTCACTTCCTCTTGTATGTACTTTTGTATACCTCTGAGGGTCTCCTTCCATTTCCATGCATTTTCCCTTCTCTCTCCCTTTCCCTCCCACCTCTCATCCCTGTTTAATGTTAATCTTCTTCTCATGCTCTTCGACCCTACTCTGTTCTTAGCTACTCTCCTTATATCAAAGAAGACATTAGACATTTGTTTTTTAGGGATTGGCTAGCTTCACTTAGCATAATCTGCTCTAATGCCATCCATTTCCCTGTAAAGAGCATGCTACAGGGACACTGCTACATCGATGTTCATAGCAGCACAATTCACAATAGCTAGACTGTGGAACCAACCTAGATGCCCTTCAATGGATGAATGGATAAAAAAAATGTGGCATTTATACCTAATTTCTTTTTAGCAGATTTATCATTGAAGTATAGGAATGCTGTTGATTTCAGTATTAATCGTGTGATTTGAATGTTAATCGTGTATCCTGCTACTTTGCAGAATTCATTTATGAACTTTCACAGTCTTCTGATGGAGTGTTTAGGGTCTTCTAAATATACAATCTGTCATCAATAAACAGAGATAATTTGAGCTTTTCTTTTCCTATTTGGATCCCTTTAATTTCGTCTTCTTGCCTAATTGCTTTGGCTGGGGTTTCAAGAACCATGATGAGTAGGAATAGTAAAACTGGGTATCCTTGCTTGTTTCTGTTTTTAGAAGAAATTATTTCAGTTTTTCTCCATCCAGAGTAGTGTTGCCCTTGGGTTTTGTTATACATAGTATTTTCAATGTTGAGGTAAGTTTCTTCTAATGCCTAGTTTCTCTGTGTTTTAAAAATGAGTGGGTGCTGTTTGCCTCCCATGTATTTTAAATCATCTCCAAAGTATTTATAATACCTAGTAAATGTAAATACTATGTAAATAGTTTATATACTTTATTGCTTAGGAATAATGATGAGAAAAATGTCTGTAAAAGTTCACTAGAAACATAGGTTTTTTTTCCCAAATATTTTGGATCCAAGATTGTTTCATCAGTGATATAAAACCCATAGATATGGAGGGTCAATTGTAAAGCTATCACCCTTTAGTACTTGATTTGGAGACTTGCCAACACTAGACAGTCCTCATCATCCAACAGAAGGTCCACTCATTGCCTTGAATAGCCTGATAGTACTGATGGGTTCCTCATATCATTAGCATAGCATTTAGTTAGCATTCATTTGAGTCTGGTTTTAACCCAGACACTGGTTCCTATATATCAAGAATTGATTTATTCAGGCAAAACAACACAGGGAAACAAGCATGAGACATGCATAAAATGCAACAGAAACATTACATCAACAAAAAGTGAATGAAATAGAGAGTGAGGAACATGTACACACGTAGAAAAACATTTAGGATGGGTGTCAGCTGTGGAAATTGCATCAGCTACCATTTGCAAAACTAATCAGCCCCATATAGTAGTACATACAGTAATGTACATATGTATGTATGTACATACATTAGCTGTATGTACTACTATATGGGGCTGATTAGTACATACATATATTATGTATATATGTATGTATGTACATACATACATACAGCTAATGTATGTTTCCCTCATAATTGATTTAAAATCATAGTATTTAACTGTAACCTGTAAGAAAAAATAAAATGAGAACCAAAATACCCAGACTCTTACATACCCATAAATATACCCTTTAAAAATGTACTGTGGCAGTTGATCCACAGAGATTACTAGGATGTTAAGCAGCTGTACCCTGCAGTTTTGATCAGAGGTAAAGAAGCAGAATGATATATTTTTAGCATTTTGTTGGCTTGAGAATATTACGAATAAGAAGCTTATCTAAACCAGGAGCTAAAATTTCCTATTTTCTTTCTTCATTCCTTTCCTCAGTCTTTCAGAATTTGTTATGTGTTTTGAATCTTGTAGGTTCTGAAAGATGACACAATCTGGAATATGTTTTCCATATTTCCTCATAATTAGACAGCATGTGATGTGCTTTTAGGTGCTATGTGATCATACCAAAGGTACTGCTATACTTGTAGCTGATCTGGCTACAGACTACTCTGCCCCGGATGACTTAGAACTGCCTGACTCCTTCCCTAATATGTATTTATATCTCTCTATTTATGTATGTATTAAGTGTGTGTGGGTGTGTGTGTGCATTACTTCCCCTGTTCCCTCTCCCACCTAATTGCCTCCCCAACAAGGACAAGCTATGCCTACATTTTTTTTTCCAGTCAACACTAGTCTCCTTCCTTTGAGAGAGAATATACAGACTTCCAACACATGAAGTGAATAGGCCGCATATCCTACAGGGTTCACTGTGCCCAGCTTCTGTCAGGCTTGATACTTGAGATGTAACTTAAAAAATGAAAATTTATAAAGAAGTTTCAGAGATTGCCAAAGCTAAACATAAGAGGTATTGTTATGAGGTCAAGTCCTAGATACACATTCCTTCTCTGAATGAGAAACAACCATTCAGATGTTATAATGATTTTGTCTATAGTTACTCATTGATAGTGTTTTCAAATTGTTATCTAATAGCTTTTATTCAGTACCATTGTTTGCCAGGTGTTTTGCTAGATATTGGATATTAAAAGAAAATGTGGTCTTTCTTCCAGAGAAATAGAATAGAAAGCATCAAAGTGCATTACACATAAGTATTTTTAATTAAATCTTTTCTCCAATTGTATACATAAATATTTATGCATTTGTTTGTACTGGATCTAAATGTGAAGCATATTTTCTACTTTGGAAGAAAAAAGTTTGAGAAATGCTGTGAGAGAGGGAAATAGACCTAACTCCTAAAGCAATGAAGCATAAGATTCCATGATGGACGTCTGTAAAAGTATGTGGAAAAGGAATGGACTGTTTTACTTAAGAGATTAAGCAAGACTTCCTAGATGTGGCCTTTGAACTGGAACTTGAAACATTTTGGTGTTGACCAACAGAGCTGGGTGGTAAGGCAGGAATGATCGATCTGCCCCCTGGTAGTCTTGGCCCAGCATTGTCAGGCTCTAATAAGTCCCCAGCACTCTAATTTTGATTCTTCCCAGTGCCTGTCAGAGAATAGAAAACACTTATTCTTCCTCAGCATTTGAGGTTTCTCTTCCAACCCACATGATAAATATACTTTACATAAGAATTTCAGCTAAATACTTGTGATCCTTTCTTCCAACATTGCACACATACACACACACACACACACACACGCACACACATACACAAATAGTACTTTAGATGATTGTGTTATGATTAGGCTTTTGAGGTGTGTTCATTATTCCCTGGCCAATATTAGCACCTAAATATTTATGCACGTAAATGTGTGATTAAATTAGTGTGTTATGGCTTCAACACTGTAAAACCCAAGAGGTTCTCAGAGAAAGACCCCTCTACTTAAGATTAATTTAAGAAGCCTTCTCTTAAATAATCCTGAATCTTGTTTCACTTCAGTCATCTATTTGAATCTATTTTGAGCATCTGTTACCTGTTAGGTACTGTTCTAAGCACTGTACCCAAAAAGATGAAAAAGCTACAGACCCTAGTTGGGGAGACAGAGGGCAGGCAGTGATAGCTGGGATAGTAAATGCTGTGTCTGAGGAAGGAATGAAATGAGAAGAGAGCACACAACTCACTGAAACTTTATACTGGAGCATAAAAGAAACCAGAGACATGGGAAGGGAGAAACTTCAAAAATCATATGAAAAATTTTATGTTAGAGGGGGGCCAGCTTGGCTGGTGGCGACCGCTGGGGGTAAGGGGGGAACGCAGGCAAAGAGAGGACAGCATGGTTTATTTTTTTAAAAAAATTGAATTGAATTTGGGGAACGTGTGGAATAGAGAGGGTGGCTCATATTAATGGACCCAGTTAATGGAAAAGTAATTCAGTGAAATCCAACCCCAAATCACTTGGCACATGGTTGAGTTCAGCAGGAATTAGGGATAACCCCTGTACAGGACTTATGTATAAGCACTGTGTGGCAGCCAGCAGACAGTAGATCAGGAACTTATAAAGGAAGTTGCCAGCAGTCATCTCTGATGAATCCCAGAGTGTGACTCAACCACAGTAACTAAAATAGGTGCACAGAAAATTGTGCCTGGAGCAAACAGCCTCCTAATTTCAAGGACAAAGACTCCCATTGTTGTTGCCACCCCCCCAGAGGTTCTGGGAAGATGCTAATAAGGGCCACACAGGAACTTCTGCATCCCAGGCTGGGTACCTGGTAATTCATATTAACAGTGGTGGATTGGAAACTTTAGTCCCTATACCCTGAAAGTGGATTTTAATGAAAACCTCAAGATCCATACATCCAGCAGAGATCAGAATCACCTCAACAATAGGGGGCCTCCAGCAAATCTCAAATACCTACCAGAGTTCCAAAGTTCAGCCAAGACTAAACCCCAACTACTGCAACTTCCAGTTTTGAACTCTCCACCACCCCCACTACAGGAATACACCATTTGTTAGCCTCCCTGGTGGATCCCACCCTCTACTGAGAGACTGGAAGCTAAGAGATCCCCCTAGCCACAAGGACTGCAGCTGGTTAGGACACAAAGATGTGGGTCCTAACAACCCCCAGCTCTTCACCCAAGGGTTACAGAGCCAACAATAGATATAAAGAATGCAAACCCATCTCTTTCAAGAGTTTGACCACCTCAGAGGAAACAAGCATTTTATTTCCCATTAAGTTTTTTTTTTCTGTTTTTACTCATCTCCGTTTTTCCCTTTTTTCTATATATTCTCCCTAATTTTTTTCTCTTCTTTTTTTCCCCTAATTTTTACATGGTTAAAAATTTTAAATTTTTATTGTATTTTTTTTCCCATTTTCTGCAAGTTTTGGTGTATGTGTGTGTGTGTGGGTATTCTCACTGCGTGAATAGGTTTGAAAATATATATTTATGTAATTTTACTTCATATAATTGCTTTCTTTTGCACCTGTTTATGATTTAGCCTTGTTTTGACTTAGGTAGGATATAATTATATATAGGCTTTAACTGTTTTGATCTTACATTTGCTTATTTGTTTGTATACTGGTTTTTGTCCTTAGTACCATTTCTTTAGTTTCTCCCCACCCCAATACCAAATTTTCATGCTCCCTCTCCTCTTTTTTCTTTTAATTACATATAGTTATTTTTTGTTCTTCCTGCTTTATAGTCAACCTCAGCTACGTATCTCCTGACTCTCTTTTGTTTACTTTTTAACATATTTCAAACCTTTTCTTGCCTTCTTACCCTATTTTCTCTTTACTTAAGAAACTTTAATTCTACTATCTAATAGAATTAGATAGTTAATGTAATTCTTTCCCATTCATGTTGCTGTGATATTGATAGAATACACGACGTAGTAGACACCTGCTGTTTAATTCATGATTGAGTTCATGATTTTTTATTTTTGGTATTGATGGCACTGATGCTCACCTCAACATTCCTATATAGGTGGCAATTATTGCTAT